GATATTTGTGATATCACAAATCCCGGAAAATATGCGTTGTAGTCCAAACGAGTCGTTCGTTGTAGTTTTTGAAAGGTGATTTCTGTTGAATAAAATATCTCCTTTTGAAGTGGACTTTGAGCTTTATAACTTTGCAGATCTTTTTTATGCTCAAACAGCAACATTACAGACTAACTAAAGTTGAAAAAGTGAGAAAGCATAATAGGACCCCTGTAAGATAGCAGCAGGACAGTGACAGTAACCTAAAACTGACCAGGTGCTAATTCCCATCTCTGAATCACCAATCTCTGTGAGAACGCAAGAAATGCAGGCCAAACCCTACACATGAGTCTCAGATCATTTATGCTTAGTATATATACGTCAAACAGTACAAATTAGTTTATAGTAAGATGTCATATTGTAAATGGGGAATTCATGTTTTATGGGACACTGCATTAGGGAGATGACACGTTTAATCAGTAGAGTGCTGTCTAAGGGGAATTGTTTGCTTAATTAACACAGACTTTTACATCCCTTTCAACTATATATTTGGCCTCATAAACCAAACTAGTCCAATAAAACAAATGTAACATTTAAAACATTTTAAAAACAAATTAAAATTTTTTTTGAATTCCTGCTGGACAAGCCATACCAGTGATACTGGAAATTGTATGACTCAATGGTTTTAAAGTGACCTGAAGTATCCCTCAGCCTAAGTGTCTCTCTCACAGTGAGTAGCCTCCAACCATCAGTTGTCCATGGGGACTTCTTCATCAGCATTCCATTCAACCAAACAAACAGCACTGTCCCTCAGGAGATTCCCATTAGCTTCAGATGAGCAAACAAAAATGTTTACGCCATAGCAAAAGTACTGTTTTTTTCTACCTCTTCTAGCCCCATTTAAAATATAAGGAGCTGGACATTCCCTGCATATTTAAAGATGGTGCTGTGGGTGACACTCTTAATAAATGGAAACATAATGCTCTGTAGACTGAACCCATTAATGGAATGCTTAAGTTATGGAAAAAATGCTTTTAAATTTTTATGGTGGTTGTGTGCTGAAGGAAATGTGGAGTTGAAAAGGGGAGGAAACATGAATTGGAGGATATTTTCAAGAATGTTGGTGAACAAACGGTTCCCACTGATTTCAAATTGTATGGGCAAGAAATACAATGAAGTCAATAGGAACTATGGGTGGACTATCCCTTTAAGAATAGGTTGCCATATTGTTTTTGCAAGGACACAGACATACAGTACATAGCCATACACATATAATGTACAGAAGATCCAAGAACAAAGTTGACATACACCACCACCATTCAAAAGATTGGAATCAGTAAAATGTTTTTTAAATAAAATTAATACTTTTAATCAGCAAAGAAATTGCTTGATCAAAGGTGACAGTATAAGACATTTATAATATCACTAAAGATTTCTATTTCAAATAAATGCTCTTATTTTAAACCTTCTGTATAGAACAGGGGTGTCCAAACTTTTCCTAAAGGGGGCCAGATTCGACGATGTGGAAACACTGGGGGCCCGGATGCTTCTACATATATATATATATATATTATGTATGTGTGATGTTGAGTTGACAGTAGCAGTAGCTTGTGTTTTGTTGAGGACAAAAATCTGCAAATATCTTGTTTTTAAAGCTTTAATAATTATAACATAGAATGGCTTTATGGTATTTAATCTATTAACACATGAAAGCACAAACTGCATCAAAAATGTCTGTAATTTGGCCTATATTTCATAACTCCCTTACATTACATTAAATTGGCCTATATGTCTACATTAATTATATAAGATTCTGTATAAATATGCAACATTTCTGCCACAATACCACAGTTACGGTTACTACAGTAAATCAAAATGTTGGTGATTTGTGGATTGAAAAGTATTCTTACTGCATTGTTGTCGCACAATGTTTTTCCTATTTTCCGCGTTAGTGTTGTTGAGAATGTCAGCGCTGTTTCATCTGCCTTTTACATCTTGTGGTTTGTATAGAAATCTCTGCTCCAAACTCAAACGCTTCTCACAGCGCTGTTTACTGGTCTCGTGATCGAGATCAGTCAACGAGTAAACGCATTTGTTCTGAGCTCGCGTTATGCTGTCTTTAGGCAGAGTTAAACATGGTCCGTGCAGGGTTCAAACGAGTCGCGCTCTTCCGCTTTTGACGCGTTTAGGAATTTGCGTGTGCTAAAGAAATGAGAGCGCATATGAGTTATCAAATTGATATCACTCACGTTTTACTGCTACATCTGGTCTAAAATGTAGTGCTGCCATCTTGTGTTGACATTTTGAAACTGCATAGGCCTATTTTGTAAATTATGCTTGGCGGGCCATATATAATATAGACTATTACGACAGATGCGGGCCGCTTACAATTCATCCACGGGCCGCATTTGGCCCGCGGGCCGTAGTTTGGACACCCCTGGTATAGAATAATGCGACACTGAAGTAATGGTTGCTGAAAATTCAGCTGTGCCATATAGGAATATATTACATTTTAAAATGTATTCAAACAGTTATTTTAAATTGTAATAATATATCAGTTTTTACAATATTTTTGATCAAATAAAAGCAGCCTTGGTGAGCATATGAGACTTTCAAAAACATTGCAAAATGTTG